TGAACTTTTCATTTCCTATGAAAGAAGAACGTTTGGGAGCCCAAGCCGTGGTTATTCACTGGAGACACAAAGGCAACAAAAAGGCTCTTTTTACCTCCCGGCAGCAAGGTTTTCAACAAGGACAAATGTGATGGAAATGCCATTTACTGGTGGAATCGGTGCTTATTTATTGACACATGTCCCTTTTCAGCTAATAAAACATCACCACCGGCCTCACCGCAATGGAGGAGGAGGGGGAGAGGGACCTGGGACATGTGGGAATGCCCCCATGTAGTGGGGAGACAGGTGGGATGATGCCCCACCTTGAACCATGTCACACGTACCCCTCGGAGGATGCAGTGAACTCCAAGAAGGGGCGTGAAAGGAAGGAAAAATGGAAGATAAAAGGGAGGAAAGACAAAAAGAAATACAGTTCTGATATCCTCTGCTGAGACTTCCCCCAGGCCCAGTTTCAGGGGGAAAAAATAAAAGGGGAGATTTTTGTTTGGATTTTCCCACGGAGATGACACTATTCCAGTTTTCTTATTTCACAAAGAGAAAGAAGAAGGGGGGTGGAAAAATAACCCAAAGGGCATTTTCTGTCCAAAAAAAAGTTCATTCAGTGCCGGCTGAGCTATTTCTGGCCATTCACATCACAACAGAACGGATTCCAGGGCTGGGAACAAACACGCAGGGTTTCGGCTACTGGAAAGAGGCATCGTTTTACTGACCCACGTGAAGCGCGGCTGGTTTCACGGCCACTGAAGATTAGTTCTTGGGTTCAGAGAGGAAGGGAGGGAGGGACTCGTTCCTCTCTTATGGAGACTTCGCGTTTGTTCTTTTTGCACTGTTTTCCTCCAACAGAAATACAAAGCGTTTAGGCTAAAAGCACTCGGGGGTTGGCTACAGCCAAGTCATCATGGCAGCTGCTTGGCTGCAGGGATGCCGGACTCAGACCAGAGATTCCTCTAGCCCTGATGCCTGGATCCAGCTGCTTTGGAGGAGGATGCCAAGAACGGCATATTGGACAAACTGGGGATAAGCTAACCCAAGCAAGCATTTCTGAACTTCATACTGGACAAACTGGGGATAAGCTGACCGGAGCGGGCATTTCTGCTGAATGCTGGTGGCTGCTATGGACAAAGGATGAGGGTTTATATCCCCCAAACCCAGGTGCCCTGATGCCAATCCCGTAGGGCTACACTCCTTCCTGGACACAGCCTAGAATCCTGGGATCTCTTGCGGACCCTTCTGGGTCTCATCCTGTCATTTCCAGAGGTGCTGAGAGCCCTGCAGCATCTACCAACTCCAACCGTGCCACATCACCGATGCAAACAAAGCATTTCAGACTTAAATGAACTCCCCCATCCCCCCACAACACAGATGCTGATTGTGCTTCATGCAAGTGATGGGGGGTACTGGTGTGCAAAAAGAGCAGTGCAAGATCCACTGGGCATGAGGAAAGCACAAGGTCTGGCTGCATCATGGGAGGTGCTACTCACTGGTAGTGGAGCGGTACAGGCTGGTAGCTGGAGAGGCTGCAGAGGGGACTAGCAGACAAACACTACCCTGAGAGCCACTGAGCTACTGTGCGACCCTAACTCTTCCCCCTGCCTCAGTTTCTCCTCCCACCTGTCATCTATTCTGATGGCAGAATATGTCATCAGTACGTTCAGCACCTGGCACCAAGGGGCTTCCAGATACAGCTAAAAGACCCTGCACGAAAAAGAAAGGGAGCTGCTAGTGGACAATGCTGCAGTGGGGTT